GGCTTTCAGGCGTCATATCACACTATATTAGGTAATAGTACACCTCTGCTAGTGATATTTCGATGTCAAAACTTGCCAGGATGCTGAGTAAATTATTATCACTTCATGATTTAATTTGATGGTGTTCACTAAATTATTTTCAAAAATTGTGTACTGGAACGGAGAAAAATCCAACGTAATAGCAAAGAACGCTGTGTGAGTTTGTCCTCCAGAATGCGCTGCTGACGCACGGCAAGGTTTCGCCGCAACTGATGCAAACATGTACATACGAAAATCAATGTGTCACCATTGAACGCACTGAAACCGTAATAATATATCTCGCTTTTCCTCTGACAGTACGCAGAATATATGCAGAAATTAATGGCCCTGGGGATTCTTGAGCTGACCACGCGATGCCCTCTATCCTCTAAAGTTGGCACTAACTTCGCCGACAAAAGGCGGTCGCTCGGTCGGTATAGTTCGCTTGCGGACTAGAGCCACAGAGTTTGTTTGTGTGCAGAATATGGCGACAGGATAACTGTAGACCAGGGAAGCGGAGAAGAACAGGCACACGAAGGGAACTGAATTTCCTGACAAGGCCTCGCTGGCTCTGTTGCCTACGCAGGTTACTGGCCAAAATAAAATAGCATTAGCTTTGAATTTGAGGTTCTCGCGGTGGTTATTATTTTCTGATGACGCCAATTAGTGTTGTTGATGATTGCCGACGTTTCGGAGGATCATATTCCCTATCAACAAAATAGAAGAGTAAGCCAAGCAGGGAAAACACAGAAAAGTCACGCGGTATATTCCTTCGAAACTTCGGTGAATTTCTACCACACTACACGGAGTCACATCCCATGCGATGCTAAGAGCGTTTTCCTTTCCTACCCAATTTCGTGACATGGTTTGCATCGTGGTGTGACACTCCAAATTCACAGTGACATGAGATAAGTACGCCATGCTTAGTTTCAATACTTCGCAGTGAGTGACTCTTTCACTGCTAAAACTGCCATCTGTTGGGAGCTGCTAAAAGTGCCTAATTCTATGGAGAATTGAAGTCACCGAAATTGAGGAAGCTCTATTCTTGATTTATTTATTAATTCGATTCTGCTATTTAAGTTCCCTACTCTTATATTGCAATGCAGATGTTTCTCCGTTTGGTTCCTGTGCAATCTCATGCAGGGTTTGCTTACTGAGTAGGAATTTCCATGACAAAAACGTCCTTGAGTAGAAGCAAAGTGTTTGGGAGTGATGTGGGTATATTGACAGTGTGTGGTGTGGCATGGCCGTAATCATACCAAGAGTTCAAGATGGCGGAACGGCGTGCCCTCAACACACGTTTCTTAATGCAGACGAAGGCCAGTCGGGGTCCGCGTTCTTCGAAGCAAAGCAGTGAATGGCAGGAATTCGGAATTCTGACGAATATTTCCCGAGATCACTTGAAGACCTACCGATAAACAACTCATTACCGAAACTGTTATGTTTCTGGACCTTAACTACTGCCCTGTTTTCGTATTTAAAACATAAACATTTTGGGAACTGGATTTTGTCTCCGTCTTCAGGTAAAATCCTATTCAGTTCGGCCCACTCGATAGAGCAAGTCCATATCTCCGGACACCTGTACCAACACAAGACAGGGTGTATAGACCAACCACAATATAAAGCATCTGTGAGAGCTGTAAGAGCCAGTTTCCATGGAGACGTATGGGGGAGTGTAGGTACAGCTCCGTGCGCTACACAGTAGGTGCTGGTTAGCTTCACGCACACCACAAAACCCAGATGACCTGACTTGGGCTCGAACTTAGCCAGCTGCGATGGGAAGCAGGCTACTAACCGCCTGAGTTATGGTGCGGCCTTAAAATGGAGACTGCTCAGCATAGCTCAGTTTCTGTCAGCCAAATGCACATCTGCATCCCCTCATATCGGAAAGTCACGGCTGCAGTGACTACTGCGTGTTGTGCTTGTCACCGCATTCCCCCTGTCGCTCCCAGTTACGGAACCACTCAGCTGATAATGATTCGTCAGGTACACCGAGTCGTCAAGGTTACAACTTCTCTAATTATAACACGGTTAAAATAGTGAAGCATTCAAGACTTCTGGGTTTGAGGCTTTCACAGCAGTATCAACAGCACGGTTGTTACACAGCATAGTTCGGTGACAGTCCGACGTTTCGGAGAAAACCATCTTCTCTGTTTTCAGGGTCGAAGATTAAGCTTGCCGCTTGCTACTGCTCGTTTCTTGCTTCACCTAGTCTTCGATTCTGAAGGTAGAAGCAATACGTTCCTCCGAAAGCTCGCTTTGTTTCAGGACTATACGGAGTTATAACACAGAAGGCTGTAGGCTGTGTTGTAATCTGTCAATATTATACAATCCAGGCGTAGCACAGGGAAGTTTTATGCTCTGGAAGGGCAAAACTAAACGTAAATAACACAAAATCCCGTCACTACCCCAGGGAAGAAATCGCAGTTTGTTGTGAGAATCAAATGGAACCGAAACACACGCTCTGTGAGCAGAACGCACAGTTTTGATGCCGCCGGTTTGCACAGCGGCGCACGGTATGGTGAGATGTGACCTGAAAAGGATCCGAAAAGAAGCTGTTGTGGCCTAATCGAGATAAGTACTACTCCGAGATTCACTTGGAAGTGCTGAGTAAAACCATGGAAAACTCTCAGGATAGCCAATATCCCGTCCGAGATTTGAACAAGTTCATCTACCCATTTCGTGCCAAGAGCGTTATTGCACTGCAAACAGTCCGTTCGTAGCATCAAGACAGGCGGTTTATATGCATCCTAATTGTTTTAATGGGTTTCTACGGTAGAGGATAAATAGAGGACTTATATCACTGTTGCTCGCACAGAAATCGCACCATCTCGTGCCTGCCAGTGTTCTGCAGAGCAAACAGATTCCTCGAGTACGACCGCCCAAGAAGTTGCAGGGCCTGGGCCCCGTGTCCCAAGTGAAATCAGCCATGCACCGCGCGGACAAAGAAGGATTTTCTGCCGGCAATGCAGACTCCTGCTCCATATGCAACCTGGATCCAGTGCTACATACATATTTAGACATAGGTAAAAAATGTATTATTGATTAATCTTACATCCGTCGACAGAACAATTTCTTATAAAAATATGGAAATTTAGATTGTATTATAAATAACAGCGAGTACAGCGATGACGACAACGGCAAGCGTAGCGACAACCTAGCCCATAACGGCAACATTGGTGACTGACGCGACAACCTAGCCCATAACGGCAACATTGGTGACTGACGCGACAACCTAGCCCATAACGGCAACATTGGTGACTGACGCGACAACCTAGCCCATAACGGCAACATTGGTGACTGACGCGACAACCTAGCCCATAACGGCAACATTGGTGACTGACGCGACAACCTAGCCCATAACGGCAACATTGGTGACTGACGCGACAACCTAGCCCATAACGGCAACATTGGTGACTGACGCGACAACCTAGCCCATAACGGCAACATTGGTGACTGACGCGACAACCTAGCCCATAACGGCAACATTGGTGACTGACGCGACAACCTAGCCCATAACGGCAACATTGGTGACTGACGCGACAACCTAGCCCATAACGGCAACATTGGTGACTGACGCGACAACCTAGCCCATAACGGCAACATTGGTGACTGACGCGACAACCTAGCCCATAACGGCAACATTGGTGACTGACGCGACAACCTAGCCCATAACGGCAACATTGGTGACTGACGCGACAACCTAGCCCATAACGGCAACATTGGTGACTGACGCGACAACCTAGCCCATAACGGCAACATTGGTGACTGACGCGACAACCTAGCCCATAACGGCAACATTGGTGACTGACGGCGACAACGTAGCTAATAACGGCAACATTGGTGACTGACGCGACAACCATAACAATGAAGATTACAACAATAACGACTCCTTTTGAGATATGCTTATTACTATTTTCGTATTTTATAGGCGTGCTTTGACTAATCCAATTATAACGGGCATTTAACATTTCTTTTGTGTGTTCTGTTCCTTTGTTCCTTTCTTCAGGAACAACGATATGGCAATCTGTCTATAGATCAGCGTGTGCTAGTAGCCTCTACACGGAAACGGAAGTTAAGACGGAACGTAGCGAACCTACCTCCCAGTCTAGTACACTTCGTGCCACTTCTGACAGATGCAATGTAAAGTTCACATTCAGTCACGGGTTAGGTTCTAAAGCATCGCTCTACAGGGCCTGTCAGCGCATCATCAAGGTACTACTTCTCTGCTCAGAACAAATTTACTTAATGCTCCATATTATCGAGAGTGGATTGTAAATATGCTATTAATTAAATAAAAAAGGGTTCTGACGGTGGTGTATAGCACTCAGAATTACTGGGGTTTTGGACTTTGCCCATTTTCCGGTATTCTAGAGACTAGAGAACCCGACGTTTCGGGAACTGGATCTGGTCCAGTGACTGAGGTCAGCTCTCCTAAGGCACGTCAATCAGAGAGCTGGTGTCTGCGGCCGCACCTGAGGACGGAAACAGATCCAGTTTCCGAAACGTTATGTTCTCTGGTTCCTAGAACATCGGACGATGGGCAAGCCCAAAATAAAAGCAGTAATTAAATCGCGCATGTTTCTCTGTTTCCAGTTACTGCTCATTTCACGGCAGTGGAACGCTTTGACATTTCGAAACTTGAAATAGAGGGGGAGGCAAAGGGAAGGGGAAAGAGAGAGAGAGACGTTGTAGTTTACGCGTGGGAAACAAAGCGATTCCAGCTCTGAAGGTCCCCGGACTTCTTCTCCGCGCCGTTCTCGTAAAGGCAAAGTTGTCCCTATGCTTAACTAAGTAAGCACCACGCCATGAAAACGTATTTGTAGATTCACGTATTCTTGACCTTGGAAATATTTCGAGGTGAGTGGTCAGCTTCACTCCTCGACCGCTGTACTTCGGGGAAAGAGCCCCGGTACCCACTGGACAGGAGGCTCCCGTCTGGACGGCCCCTGCTAGCAACTACGTGACGTGCACGTACGCACCTCAACGCGCTCCTCCTTCAGGTCCACCTTGAGGGCAAGCTGTTCGCGCAGCACCACGTCCGGGTAGTGCGTCTTGTCGAACGTGGCCTCCAGCTGCTCCAGCTGCTCCTCCGTGAAGATGGTGCGGTGGCGTCGCTTCCTCTTGGGAGGTGGCGCCGAGTGGTGGTGGTGGTGGTGCAGTCCGTGGTGATGGTGCCCCGGGGCGCCCGACACAGCTACGCTCATGGACGCCGCCGCCGCGGCAGCTGCGCTGACAGCGGCCGCTGCGTGCGACATGTATCCGGCCGCCGGGTAGAAGTTCGGGTAGGCCACGGCTGCAACACGTCAGACGTTAAGTGAATAAATTGTACACTGTGTCTGTAGATTAGCAAGTTACTCTCCAACCGAAACGCTAATAAATGGTACATTCCACATGCTAGAATCTCTCTGACTCTCTTTGAACCCAGGGAATGTAATGTAAAGTAAAGGAACCCAGTTTGTGTCAACAAAAATTAGGAATGCAATTCTACTCACGACTTTCCTCGCCCTCTCTTCTTTGGACGATATTAACAGAAATGTTTGTATACAAACGCGGACGTAAGACGGACTTCAAGATTATTAGCAGAAATACTATACGAAATTTGAGGTTGACAGCTGTAGCTCTCTTCTGTGATATGACGTCTTATAGTCCGAGATATCGTTACCAGCCCTCTGCCCTGTAGAGGCAGAGGGTTCCTCTGAAACGTCAGCAGCTCTCTGCCAGTCTCTGATTTTATATTTATAGATGACAGCTCTTCGCCCGGGATATAGTTCCCTTCCTGGCCCACATTAGCTACGAGAAGCTCTGGGAAAACTGCACGTCCAACAATTCTTCTATTGCTGCGTGTGTATTCGTTGCCGCGTTAACGTTTTTACCAAACAGTTGTTTGGCAACGTTTGGGGATGCGCATACAGACCCAGACCGATGGGAGGGGTTCATGCGGCTGAGGCTGGCTCAGTTGCCATGGTATACATACAAAATTTCGTAAATATTGGTTCCGGCATTCAGAAGTTGATAACGGTGGATGCACAGACACACAGATGGCATGCTGATGTCATAAGCCTGCTGAACATTGCAAATAACCGTGGCACCCGAAAGAGAACATTAAATTCTGCTCATGATTCTGAAAAAAGAAGAGTTTGGAACAAGGACTTGAATCACATCCAGATGTTCACAGCAACCCTTGTACGTCGCTACCGTGCATATTGGTAAGGGAACGGAATACATTTCATAATATCTCTAGATGTTTTCTCTTAGGTCCGCGGAAAATCAGGGAAATGGTAGAAAAGTAAAATTTTACGCACTGAATTTAACTTTTCTGAGGGGGTAGCTACAATCTTTTTCTAATATACATAAGTTTACAGCATTTAAGAATATTTTTGCTGATCGCCCTGGAGTATTAAGGGTAGGAGAATATTCTTTAAACAATTATTTTATTTTCTCAACTGTGATTCTTCCCCCCCCCTCCAAAAAAAGTCGGAGGTGTGGCTAGGCCTGAAGCCGCATGCATGACTGAGGCAGGTGTGAGGTGAAGAGAGCTGAAAGTGAGACGGGAGGGAAGACAAGGCAGGCCAAGGCTCTCACAGGACCCCTCAACCAAGATGTAGGCAGCTCCAAGTGCGTACATGTATGCAAGACGTGAATGGAGGGGGGGGGGGCTGAATGAGGGCTCGGAACCAATGCTTGTTACGAACACCAGGACGCGCACACTGCACACCGACGGTGCATACGTCATCATGCAGACACGAAACAAGAAATGTGAGCCCGACGTTTGCGCCCGGCTGAACTTAATGCTCTTACAGGACCCGGGGCCACGGACAGTGCCTCTGGTGGTGAGGGCGCCCCCCACGCCACGTAATGTAAGGGGATTTGCATGAGGGGAGGACAGTCTCCTGCAATCGTACTGAACACCTGGAAGCACTGCATCGTGTCAAGAAAACGCGACTTCTTAGCTTACATTCCTAAAGTCGGCTTATGTGACCTCAGGGATGTATGTCTGTGTATCCCACTCGAGCGTACTACATCCCTCCCTTCAGTCTGAGTCTGGAACCGTCCTATCGTTGCTAGGCAACAGCTCGGTAAACATGTTCCCGTGGCAGAGATTATACGCAACAATACTAGAATTGTTGGACACGCGTACCTGTGGGTCTCTCTGCCTATTCCCCCACCTTTGCTGGTTAGAAATTCGGTAAATATGTTCCCGCGGAAACGAATAACTTTTTGAGGCGTCCTTTCCTATGCGGTCTGTGGCCTATCAAAGCTGTCAGTATATGGAGTGTGTAGGCTTGGAGTCGAATGAATTGGAGAGGATACGAAAGGAAGCGGTCTAAGCCTAATATTTTCTCAGATTTGCCTGGAGGGACTGAGGAAGACCACTAGAAGCCTCAGTCACGATAGACTATTTGTCGGTTGAGATTCGAACCAAACACCTCCGAAATTCTAGTCTGAAATCGATACCGGAACATCTAACAAACTCGGTGTAGCCTAAATTTGATGATCGTCCATTAATGTTTGTTTATTTAACAACGATTTGTAACTGTGCAGGTTACGTGGCTGTTTATGAAACGAATGTTCACTGCGTGAATTTATGGTCGGCCGGATGGTACAAGCGGCAATTCGCAGTGGCCTGCCGCGCGTCCAAGGCATGAACTGTCCTCGCTCGCTCGAACATTGGGATAGTGGGTTCGAATCCCACTCAAGGCAGGGATGTCTGCGTGTGTTTGTATTAGGTAGCGGCTTTCGACGGGCTGATCCCCCGTCCTAGAGTTCTTGTAGATTCAGAAACTGAGGTGAAGCGAGGAGTTTCACGGATGCGCTGTGCTCCAAGTGGGAGCAGTAGGAGGCGACGTGCGTTCTCGAAAACAAGACAATTCACCGAAAATTGATGTAAGAGCGAAACGTACCTCAGAACTCGACCTGCGCTGGGATGAACATGGCCCTCGGGGTTATGATTCTGGTAGAAACGTAGTGCAAATACTGCGGAGTAAACTGTTACTTCCGTCTTCAGGGTAAGAAAATCAGATCCGATAATACTGTAACGCTTCTATACGTAGGGTCGGAAGACCGATATGCACACAAATAATTGAACAGAAAGTGCTCGTAGCGTAACATAAGGATAAGCAGTCCCCCTGAACACGAGACCTCCCGACAGCTGACGAGTGAGACTCACTCAGCCGAAATGAGGTACTGATGTCTGGAGACCAAGGCTCAGTTCCCAGCAAGGCAGATGGCATTGTTTTACTGAATCACGGTCAGAACGGCTAAAAGCATCACAGAAATGAAGCTACCCCTGTAACAGGCTGTGGAAACACATTCGGTTGTGAGACGTCGAGGCTCCCACATTTTCTAAACAATCGCCTCACGCATGGCCACTGTTTACCCCCAAGAAGAGGCTTGGTACTCATTTCTGTTAGATTAAGCGACGGCCATTTCATTTCTTGATCTTTCTATTTGACTACTCCAAGTACTTATATTTCCTCTACCAATTCTCATGTCACCACATGCCCCACTTTTGTCATCCTCTGAAATACAGTCTGCATAGAGACTCATGCATTGGATGTGAAGTTCTGGCACCATTGTCTGTGTGCTACCTTATGGGTTGTGATAGTGTGTAGACCGACGTTTCGGGCAAAGCATTGCCTCTGCCTTCAGGGTCGAAAATATGTTACGCAAGCAATCAGCACGAAGCGTGGTGCACTGATCTAGACAGAATTGAAAGAAAAGGAATAAATACCGTCCGTCCGTCCGATTCTGCTTCCTACGCATTTTTCTCGTGGTTCGGTCTGTCGCTATGCAACATGTGCATGGAAACAGCAAGCATAAACCTGAGGAGCGCCTCCGCGTGCAAGAACTCGACAGCTTCTGAGAGGAGAGGCATGGAACCTGGCACAGAGATAAGTTAAACTTGTCCCTGTGCTTAACTAATGAAGCACTGCGCAATGAAGGAGTATGGAGGAGTGGATGTATAGATCCACGTATTATTGACCTCGGCCCTGGTTGGAGATGAGTGGTGAGGTTTAAAATCCGACAATAAAGATGGATCCTTCACGTAGAGACCTGCCTGCTTTTCTCTTTGCACCTCGAGAGTAATTATCCCGTAAGTTGCTGCATTTGTAGTGCAGCTGAATGAAACTGGAGAAGGAAGTTGCAGGGATAAATGAAATTCCTACTTTATGCTCAGTAAACGCCTTCGTGAGCCGGTCGCGGTAGCCGAGCGGTCTAAGGCATCTACTCTCTTCGCTCGCATGAATGTTTGGTATGTGCTTTTGTTGTCCTGTGTTTAGCTAGAGGCCTTGCGATGAGCTGACCACTCGGCCAAGGTGTCTTACCGTCTGTAAAGTGATAATGAAACGGAGCCAGCAAAAGAAAATCTTCATGAAGTTCTGTGGTTTGTGATTTAATTGAATACAATTTATCAGGTTAGTTTTAAAAGTTGTGTCTATTAAACTCGACTGTGGAATACACTCAATTCCATGAGGATTTCTGAGTGTCGCAAGACGGCGTGAAGCCGGGTAGCCTGTACACACTGTCCATATTATTGCACGCAACCTGCATATATTTCTATATTTTGACTTTAAGACATTGTTCCCTGAACTCCACTGAAATGTACTTCCTCTGGAAGTGGACTATTCTCCCCCCCCCCCGAAACTATGAGGTCAGTGGCAAAGGCGCATACTTCTTGTTGTACCTTAGTCCTGTGACACTACCTCCACCCCCACTTATCCGCGGATTAGGCAGCTTACCTGAGCCTTCGGCATTCGCTGTGTAAACACAACAAGGCAAAGTAATTTCCTCTGTCACTCTGCTTAAGTTAACGGGATGAGCAAGGCGCTGTCACGCTGCTGAAGTTAACGGGATGAGCAAGCGCTGTCACTCTGCTGAAGTTAACGGGATGAGCAAGGCGCTGTCACTCTGCTGAAGTTAACGGGATGAGCAAGGCGCTGTCACGCTGCTGAAGTTAACGGGATGAGCAAGGCGCTGTCACTATGCTGAAGTTAACGGGATGAGCACGGCGCTGTCATTATGCTGAAGTTAACGGGATGAGCACGGCGCTGGGATGCTGCTGAAGTTAACGGACTGAGCAAGGCGCTGGGACGCTGCTTAAGTTAACGGAATAAGCAAGGCGCTGGGACGCTGCTGAAGTTAACAGGATGAGCAAGGCGCTGTCATTATGCTGAAGTTAACGGAATGAGCAAGGCGCTGGGACGCTGCTTAAGTTAACGGAATAAGCAAGGCGCTGGGACGCTGTGGTCGCCTCACATCCGCAATCGCCCTTCAAAATTCTCTTTCCGAGAC